GTCCTTCCGATTAGTCGGACCAATTTTGTTACACTAACAATCAATAAAATGGCAAGAGGATTAGGTCAGTTCTATACAATAAAAAGCGAGAGCGCAATTCGTAGAATGTTTCACGGACTTACCGCTTTTCAAAAGCTTGCATAATTGAGATTCATTTTTTGTATGGCCAACATCAAAAATTTTCTGATGGCGTTATTGACGCCAATAAAATTTAAATTGAGGGGGGAGCGTGCGCCGAAAAAAGGCTAGTTTTTGGTTAAATATATTTTAAAAGCGTTGAAAACGTCATTTTTAGCCTGTTTTTTATTCCAAAAATTTAAAAACATGTCTGCGGTGCTGACATTTTGCGACGAAAAATGGTCTTTGTAGTATTTTTCGAGAGTACGGAAAATCCATTTGGTCAAACTGAAAAAATTTACAAAACTTTCAATTTTATTTTTCAAAAAACCGCTCCCCGCCACCAGAAAAAATTCTGCGTGTGCCACTTATTCACTGACAAATCAGATAATCTCACTGCCATGTAAGATTTGCCTTAAGCAGTTCAAGTAGGATAAAAACAGAAAACAATGCTCAGTAGTATTATTATTGATTTGTTTTCAAACAAATTCAGTCGAATTCTACTTTGAGCAGTTTATAATCATTCGATGGAAGATCTTCCGGGTTTGGCTGCGAGTTTTTTTTGCGGTAGGAATTTTTTTGCATCGCCATTTTTTATAAGTTTTCTTTTAGAATAAAACACGACGCCTCAATCAAAGAGTGAACAGTCTTAGTGTGTAGTAACTTGTTCTACTTGGTCAGAAACGATCTAAATTCTGTAATTTTCAGTTATACAATCATATTCTGTCCTTCAAGGCTGCTCGGTCAGATATGCTCAGATCGGCTATTAATTTAATCGGTAAAAGTACTTTTGTTACCCGTGCCCAACTTAAGCTTCTAAATTATATAGAAATTTTCTATCGATAATCTAACCTAACTACCTGTGTTCTCTGTATAGAAACCATTTTTTTCTCATCTTACTTTAGAAATAAACAATTGCAGGAAAAAAAACCTGACGTCAGTTCGCTGTTCACCCGCAACGAGATAATCATTTGTTCTTCAAGTTTTCAGTCATAAAACGAAAAAAATCACGAAAAAAAGGCAACTTTTTGGGAACCATTTATTTGAACATTTTAAAACGCGATACTGATTGTGGCTAGTTTCAAGGTGTAATCTGGTATTGTTTAGGCTAACATTACTATCCCAAAAAAACTCAAGACAATGAACCTGACGGTTTTTTCTTGTTCCTACTTTAGATATAAATGAAAAATTTCTCTATTTTTTTCTAAAACAGCCAAATTTGGGGTTTTTTTCTATACGAGAAGAGCGTATAAAACATAGAGGCATAGAAGAGAAATTTTAGGCCAACTGACGAAGTATGTGATTTTTGACCATCGTGCTATAGTTTTTTTCCTATCTCAGATCAACAGAGACATAGAAAACAGTATATCACGAACACCACTGAGAAACAAATACGAGTTTCAATTCAGCCTAACTCAAGTAAATTATTTACCTAGATTTATATTGTGCACCAACAGATGAAACCTGGCTTTCCTCAAAGCAGGATTTGCACATTTTTAAATATACTGAGTATCAACCTCTCATTGAAAGTTCTCGTAAAGGTAGGGGAGGCGTATGCTAATAAATAAAATAAGGAATAAATTTTAATTCATAAAAAGAGCAAGCAATAACAACATTCAATTACACAGCATCAAAATTACAGTTGAAAAAGAAAAAAGCAACTGTTCGTTATAATTCTCCCGGCGCCGTAAAAACTCAGTCAATCCTGATACTACGAAACGTTGTTGATGATATTATGGTAGCAACATCTATACATCATTCACTTTCTGGTGTTTTTAAATTTAATATATTGAGACATGAGACAAAGCAAAATTGCCAGAAAGCGCTCTTTTTACAGACTTGAATCGGAATTTTTTTTGAAACAACTCACCAAATAATAAAGTTTGTACGATAATGAAACAAAAAGTAACCAAAAAATATGCGATGACTTTTTAAATGTTGAACGAAAAACTCAGAATCAACATTTAAACACTTTTGCGAGAAAAAACATCGCTTAAAAAACCTTGAAGCACTGGGCAGATAATAAAGTGAAAAATGCGAAATCAAAAAACCACTGATTACGGATTTTTTTTTAAACAAACTGGAACCACAGAGATCAGAAATAAGCTTGACACTCAAACGAAATTGATGCGTTAAATGATGAGTCAGAAAAAAGAGAGCTTTTTATCAAAACAAATTACCTATGGAAATAAAAAAAAGCAGCAGAGAAAATTCCATTTGGAGAACGATCTATTTTGTGCTTTTAAATGAAAACTTTTAACTAAAAAGAGGTTTAAAAAAGTTTTGCGGTTCATTTGAAACAGAATGAATCAATATCTCAAAAAGATCAATTATTACAAAGTTGCCAAATTAGATTCAGATCAAGAAGAAATTCAATTGATGTTTTGAAAGCCATTATAGAAAAAACGTGCCAAATAGATCAAAACTCTGAGATCAAGAAGACACTATACTATAAAAATCTGACGCATATGGTTTTGAAACATCTGAAATCCTATGTAAGATACAGCTAGAAACAGCTAGTAACAGTGAGTTAACCGTTGAACGCTACGATGCGTTGGACAAAGCAGCATATTGGTTAGAGAAAAAAACAAGCTGTCCTTGAATGAAAAAAGAACACGAAAACCAGATGTAGGAATTAATGGAACAAATATTGAACAATTTTGAGATAAGAGTGCATTTCGACCATAGTTCAGACTGATGTAAGAAAAATTTGAATACAATTTTGAATAAGAGAGTTTCAGCTAGGCAGAAGCTTGCGCATTCAAAGGGCAATAAAAAAAACCTCAAATAATGTTAGAATTAGAAAAAAATGTTAACATTGTTCTAAAATGCTACCCAGATTTAGTAACCTGGATTCAGAGCTGCACAGAATATCAATTACAAAACTTCAATCATTAATTTTTGGACAAACTTTTCATAGACCAACTGGTTGAACTCATTTTTGTGTAGGAATAGCATTTAAAAGTTTTGCCGTCAAGTGTAGAAATACTGCTGAATTTTTTACTATTTTTTATTTCCGTCTTTTTATTTTCTCTAAATCATTTTTATTGATTTATTGATTAACAAGCGATACTAAAACCAACAGAAATCATAGAAGGATCAGAGGCGGCTGAAAACGGGCTGCAAAGCTCTACGGCGTTTTCGCAATCAGATTTCATTGGTTGTAAATGTGGAAAATTTTACAGTGAATGGAATCTTGCAAACAATTTATTATGATTGTTTTATACTTGTGTTTTTTTTTAAAAGAGTGAAAAGAAAGTGATTCACATCAATTTCATCCTACAGCAGAATTCCTCCATATATTTAATTGCCCGCACTCACAAAATTTGATTAGGATCGATTCTAGTATGAAAAAAGTACGAAGAATAAATAAAAAAGATGAAGATTGATTTGGATCGATTTAAAATTGATTTATATTGATCTTAAATCCCAGCTAAAAAAATTGATCCAAATCGATTTAAATGCTATTTTTCAGTCTGAATTTGTTTTCATTTTTAAGGAGATTAAAATGGATTTAAATCGATTTTAATCGATTTTTTTTCATTCGAGTTTTATCAGTTTCATTTTTTTATTGCATTTTCTTCTTGCCTATCATTTTTCATTTGTCATCCATAGCGTATTGTAGCATAAAAAGACTAAATAAAAAGACCAAAATATTGATAAAATTCTATGTTTTTCTGCATATTTTGAGTTCAAAAACTGATCTATCTTTACCCTTTTCTTGATTCGTTTCATAAGTTGTTGCTTAAAATTTGATTTAGTTTCACGTTTTTATATGACTTTATTGCATATTATTGAGATGAAAATTTAATTTTACCTGACCCTTTTCTGGTTTGTTACTCAAGATTTTGCCCATAATCTGATTTACAATGGTTTTCTATTATTTTATTGCAAATTTTTGAGTTTAAAACCTGATTTATGTGGATCATTTTAATGAATTCTATAACATCTGGCAAGAGTGTTTATGTTTAAAAAATTGTGAATAAAAAATTGCAACCGTTTTTTTAAAGGGTATGTTTTTTTTGCCGTGTTCGCAAAAAAAATCGATTTTAGTGCGTCGGAAAATCCATCGAAATCGATTTTTTAGGCACTTAAATTGATTTAAAATTTTCAAAAAGATCAATTTAAATCGATTTAAAATGGATTTAAGTGAGATTCTGATGGATTTAAGCGAGATTCTGATGGGTTTTAGTGAGTCGAAAAATCCATCGAAATCGATTTTTTAGGCACTTAAATTGATTTAAAATTTTCAAAAAGATCAATTTAAATCGATTTAAAATGGATTTAAGTGAGATTCTGATGGATTTAAGCGAGATTCTGATGGGTTTTAGTGAGTCGAAAAATCCATCGAAATCGATTTAAATCGATTTTTAGACACTTAAATCGATATAAAATTTTCAAAAAGATCGATTTAAATCAATTTAAAATCCATTTAAGTTCGTAAAATGTACATGGTTAATCGATTTGAATCGATTTAAAATCGATTTAAATCGACCGGAAACTATTTCTGTCAGTGCGGGTGGCAAATTTCGTCTTACTTCAGAAATTTTCTCCCAGCATCGCCATGCGTTTTCATGAGCAACTTATGTTTTGCAGTACGAGGCCAAACTGTGTATTTTGTGAATTGTAAGCGGATATGTTAAATGAAAATATGGGAGGAATTTTACAAGAAGATCAAATTAGGACCAAATCTGTCAACTCTCTATGAGGACAAAATCTTTCGAGGGGTGAATTCTTTTAGTACCCAATAAAATATGATGAAAGAGTCTATCTGTGGCCTCATACTGTCTTCATTCATTATAAAATATTATAACGGACATACAAATTAGGCCAATAACCTTTTTGCAAGTAGAGATTTTCGTTATCATCCAAATCTATTTTAGCGTTCTTTTTGTACCGACATGTACATGGGAGTGCGGGCATCATCAACCACTTTGCGAATGCCGCCTCATCCTCCTCTTCCACGAGAAGAGAGCAGGAGTTTAATCATGCACGGCATGTGGACACGCGACCTTGGGAATCTTTCGTGTTCGTGGTGCCTAACGTCCTCTCCGACATCGGAATGAAGTGTGCCACCATATCGTGAGATCCCATTGTATATTTTCATTGTTCGTCAATAAACGGATCTTTTTTGCAACTCTACCCCTGATTGCCAAATAGGAAGTTTTTGCTACTATGCAGGTCAAAAATTTTCGTCTCTGAAAAAAGTGAAAGGCTCAAATGTTTTCACTCATAAATTTTGGCAGAATTAGATGAAGTTTAACGTAAAAAAATAGTGCTATTTGCGTATACACTAGAATACATGCGCTCTTTTCACCCTCCAGTTTTTTTTTCACTCCTGTTTTTCCGCAGTTCTCGTAAAGTCACGGGTAAATATCGAACGTCACGATTCCCGGTTTAACCACAGATTTGTTCGAGATTATTGCGATTTACCAATTTAGGGGTCTTTTTAGGTACTAAGAAAGGGGGAATCTTTGGGTAGTCAGGGAGTCGGTTTCATGAGGGTGGAGGCGTCCGCCGCGGCCTCCCTAAATCCGCTAAAGGTTTTGAATATGATGAGGTGAAATAGGTTGTTACTAAACTCAAAATTACTATACTATGATGCCAAAGGCGCATTTATAAGTTTTTAGGGTTGTTCAGCCAAAATTGGATGTCTTAAATTAGTAACAAAAGGGCAGACTCATAAAGTACTCAGGGAGTCGAATTACTGAAGGGTGTGTCCGCCCCCGCCCCGCCCGCCAAATCTGCTACTGGTTTTGGATATGATGACGTGAAATTGATTTAAGAACCTTCAGATCACATTTTATAGTCTTTCCATTAATACTTCAGAGAAGACATTTTGTTTGAAAAAGGGGCAAGGAAACAGGGTACAAAAAATTCTAAGAACTTAAAATGGTTTGGTGGGTTGAGTCACTATTCCTCAATGGGCGGATTTAGGATTTTCAAGAAGGTAAGAGGGTTTATACCCATTTCTTTCAACCAATTTCTTTATACCCATTTCTGTGCATGGGTTTTCCAGAAGCTTTTTTGCGGGCCATATTATTCGATCTATTGAATAAAATAAATTCTTTTGAAAAAATTATTAATTTTAAATTGGGCTATAAACAGCAAAAAACTAGTTTATCACACCCGAAGACAAGATTCCTCTCCAAATCAAACAGTCGGAATAATGGCTTCTAAGCCGGCCACTAAGAGTCGAAAATAAATCCTGTTTCTAAATAATCGTGATTATCGTTTTCCCAACATATGTCGGAAGATAGAATTTTCCTTCATAACAAACGCTATTCTTAAAAATTCAGTATTGAAAGATCATTTATTGCAATACTCCTATATCAATAATGCCAAAAAAACACAAAATTTTTCCTAGAACTAAAGGATGTATTAACCATTTCTCTTCCCACATTGCAAGACGAGTGTTAGGTACAGAGATAGAAAATCTGCATATGCTTGACCGTTGATTTGGATCTTTGCAGGGGTGATTTTTTTACTTGGTACCATAAGGAGTATGGGTGGTTAGAGAAACCAAAAATTGATGATAAATCAGTTTTCAATCCTGTTGTTCCCAACACTTTACGCATCTATCGAAAAACAGTTACAAAAATTTCTCAGTTTTTAATTAAAAATTTCGAAAGACATAACGTCCCGGTCTAATTCTCTAAAGGTAACATGAGTTAATAAATGAGAGACAAGAGAATTAAGAGGGGTATAGTGAAGGATTGCGGGGTACAGTAACCGTACCTAGTCCTAAGTATCTCACAGGAGATCAGAGAGAAGGAAATTAAGAGCTCTTCTAATGGTATACGTATCGTTCATTACCAAAAATGCATGTCTACATGAGAATTTTGAATGATTATCATAAACATTAAAAGGCTGCTTAGCTGAATGATTGGATCTGCTTGTTAGGATAAAAGACATTGTCTTTGGACAATTGATTTAAATGATTTAGTTGGGAAAGTTGTGATCAAAATTCAGTGTTTTTTAGACCGGGACACCTGGTATGAATACTTTGCGAAGAGCAGTTTGATTGAGCGTAGTTGCTGAGCCTAATAAGCTACCCGCACTGACAAAATTGAGATTAAAATCGATTTGAATCGATTTGTAGTTCAAGAAAACACGGTATATAAAAATCAATATACGGCAGCTCATTTAGATACGTATATCGATTGTAATGGATTTAAACAGGTTTATGCTGACAAAAAATCAATTTTATTCTCAAAAAAAATTGATTTAAATGGGTTTTTGCCAGATAGTAAAATTTATCAAAAACAAAAATGATTAATTGGATCTAAGTAATTATTAGACCAATCAAAATGCCGCAAAATTCGAATTATGAATTGAACGTTCTAGTGCTAACCTAATGCTTATATTTTTAGGGGCGTCAGTTTTGCAGCAGATTACATGGTGGGAGGGGTGATTGTTAAGTCGATACCATTTAACTATCTATTGCTTTTTCTTCGTAACTTGAGCAAAATTTTTTGTTTTCTGCTAGACTAAATTTCTGCGTAATGGGCTACCATTACTCTTCGATGCAGACCAACAGAAGCGTGGAGGCCCTGGATTTTTTCATCTTCGGTGATTTGTTGAAACGCCAATACAAGTACATCAACTGGTTCGACTTCAACCCACTAGCACATAGTTAGATAACTATTACACGTTTACTTTCAGTTTTAATTTCAATATCATATATTAACTGCAGGTAGATAACTATGATACGATTAATTGAAATATATAAGTATCTTTTATATGCAAATATTTTACTAATATAAAACTATGATAATAATAGTTACATAAAATATATGATGTGTGCAAAACTACGGATAGCCCATCTACGTGACTGATAACATTGAAGTTTTTTGGTTCATTGGACTCGATTTGGTTTTGAAGAAACACTATTCGAACAGTGAAACAGTTAGGCTTGCGGAGAAAACTTTGTGTCATATTCACTTTTAGAAATGATTTTATCGGCAAAGTTACGAGAATATACTCAATACTTACAACAATGCGTAAAATATAAATTTTGAATATGAATAACTAGGCAAATTATCCAACCCAAAAAAATTGAATTGGGTCTTATGCACTAAACGGCCCAAAATAAGTATTTATACATCTTTATCTAAAATCAATGTGGTTCAATCTGATTGGTTAATTAGCCAATCAAATGCAATAAATTTGTTCCGGCATTCCAATTTAAGTTTTAAGCAGAAAAAAATATTGTCTGCAATGACCAAAAAAATAGAACTTTTTTCCCGTGCGGGCAAAATTTTTCAAAAAACATGAAAGTGATTTTATAATTTGAATAAGATTTGCAATTTCCGCAAATTCGGCTGTTATTTTTTCTCCTGGAACAGTTGATTGAAATGCTTGACCATGTTGCTTGATTTTGATTGGCTAATATAAGCCAATCAAAATCTGTTGAATTATTTTTAGCTAAAGATATAGAGATTTCGATTTTCGGCAGTTTAAAGACCCATTGCATTTATATCTTAGACAGGAACAAAACAGCGGTTCTCCTTCATGAGCTGGTATTTTCCCTTTTGAAAAAATCGTGTTTAGAAAGAAGTTTTTTGTTCAACTTTTTTTGTGAGATGGAAGCAGTCTGCTACAATCATTTCCAGCTCTTTTCATTCTAATTGAAATTAGTTGTTCTGAAATATTTCATTAGATTTCTTTAAGCTCTAATAGTACTTTTTTGTTGGTTTTTTGTGGGCAGCTGTGGTCTTTTTACTTATTTTGTCCAAAAATCAATTTTTCAACATCCTGTAGTGAAACTATTTCGCTTCAATCTGATTGGCTAATAATTTTAAGTCGTATTATGATTAAGCTGAATTGGCCTAAAGTGACGAGTGTTTGGTAAACTCTTCTAAATTGTTTCAAATACGCTCCAGCGTTTTACCCAGATAAAAAACAAGACGGAAAATAGCTCCAGGGAAAAAAGACTCGTATCTGCTCAAAATTTGGCTTCGTCGGAAGAAACAAATGATTGCATTTATTTTAAATCAGCCAACCAGTGCTATCAGTATTTTGTTCTCAGTATTGATACATTTAAAATTACAAAATCGCAAAACTAAGAAATTTTGGCGGAATAAGTAAAAAGGCCCGGCAACTGAGTCTAACCATAACCCGGTAACTCTCACCAATGAACTAACGTGATTATAAGAGCGGTGTGATACTTTGATGCTGAAAGTTTAACGCGCATTATTCACGCTGACAATTTATACCGCGCTACAAAATAGTTCCAAACTCAATTGAAGCAGGCTAATTGATCTTATTAATTCCATATACGATTCCTAAAATTCAGCTTACAATTCATAGTTTGTCAGTATTTTATTAACCAACAACTATTCGAGACAACTTAATGGACAGTCAGAAACATTCAGAGCTCAGAGCATTGTTGATACGACAAGTCTTGTTCTCTTAAACAACCGTTTATCCGATGCTCTTTGCTCAAAATTTGGTTCTAGTTAACATTCACCCTTTCTTTGGTATTTACTAAACAATTATAACTCCTTTAAATAAAAGAAGTAAATCAGTTCTAGAGCGTTCTATGTAAAATTCGAATTTTGCTGCATTCTGATTGGTCGAATACTCAGATAACTTAACCTATCTAACATTTGCCCTTTTGCTCGAAATAAGTGGGGTAATTGTTAAGTAGATCTCAAACTTTAAAACAGATTGAAAAATTTTTATCATAATATTCACAATTTTATCACTGCTCCTTTTACTAACTATCACAATTATTCGCATTCAATAGCACCAATGTGCAATTAGCTTACTCATTTTTATATTGCATCCACAACTTCGTCCCTGCTTCTTTTTTTCACTAACTTTCACAACTATCCACATTCAATACCACCAATATGCTTTCATTTTTCACATTTTGTTTTCAATGCATTCACAATTTCGTGACTGCTTCTCTTGTTTTTCTCAACTGTCATAATTTTTCATCTTCAAAACCACCAACATGTATTCAGTTTTCAATTTTTTTTGTTTATTTCGCAATTTTGTCACTACTTTTTTTTTACTAACTGTCACAATTATCCACATTCAATACCACCAATGTGCATTCAGTTTTTACAATTTTTTCATTGCATGTTTTTGAGCATTTTTTGAGCATTGCATTGTTCATTTTTTTAAAATCAAATTTAGAGTGTACAATCATATCATGAAAAATACAATTATTAGCAGTTATACTACCCAGAATAAAATTATCTCCGAGAGTACACTTACTAAATGGGGGACGTTAATAAAGTATGAAAATGAAATATCATAAAAATTAGAAATTCTCGAAAAGATGTTCAATTACGTATTAACAAATCAGATTTTATGATAATAAACCTATTCACAACATTCCCGCTATCGATATCATTATTTAAATCAGAATCAGATGATTGGTTGTAAATGAGCCGAACCAAAAAATCGATTTAGCTTTTATTCAGATTTTATTCAGAATTGATAGATTAAATAGTCATGCATCTGCCACTAAAAGGCCATGCCGAAATGTTCAACCAATTTTTTTTCAGAACGAAGGTTTGTATTGTTCTTCCAGAATTGCAAGCTTGCTTACAAAAAGCACGCGAAAACACGTAAATAAAGCTAGCATAAATTTATGCTAGTTTATCTATATGTTATTTATGTATTTTTTACAGGCAGCTTTTTATCAAAAAATTTTAGAAATAAGCGTTGATTATTGCAAGACTTTCGAAAGAGTGCATGAAATGAGGCTGCCCCGATACCGAGTACACAGGAGTTTTACAGAAAACGACATAGTTTGAATCCAAAAATTGCACAAAAAAAATCAGTAGGTAGATATGAACCGGATTAGAAGAACAATAAATTCCAGTTCAAAAGCTGCTCTATTTGGTATCACCGACTAGGTACAGAAAGTTCGCATATATTGATAACTCGCCTTTATTTTTTGGCGTGGCGACAATTGCGTCTTCGGAAATGCAAATGATCATTTGCGAATGAGTTTCTCTGAGGAAATAAACGGAATAAAAATAGCAGTTGATGAAATAAAAACTTCTGTCAAATGAAATGAAAACTACTGGAAAACAAGGCTTTTGAGGATTCAAACTTTTGCAGACGCGTTTGATTCAAAGCTCAAACAGATACCCGTTCAAGATACCAATGAGACCTACAAAATCCGATAAGATGCACAATGAATACACGCACGAACTCCGGATCTCAGACATACTTGAGTTCCAAAAGAACAACCGGTGATTAGGAAATTAGACGATAAGCAAATTAGACGTGACCAACAAAAATGAATTTAGACGTTAAATTGTTTTTGGAAAACTAGCATTTTAGACGGAAAGCAAAGGGCTAACAAAACTTATTGCTTAAAACAGGTTTTCGTAATTACAAAAATTAGATATGATCTTATTGCATCTCAAAATATTTATCTCAATTGATTTATAAAATGTAAATTTCAAGATTATAAAACATTTTTGAAATGCATAAATTATACAATTGCGTCGTGTGAACAATGCGGAATGTGAAACTTGCGGCATGTGAGAAGTTGATTTGCATTTAAGAAAGCTGAACGAAAGTTAATTGTATTCGGTAAAGAAATTTCAGACACGAACAATACAATTACGTCTAATTTCCCATATTTGTAATTTTGCATTACGTCTAAATTCATTTTTGTTTTTCACGTCTAATTTGCTTTTCGTCTAATTTCCTAGGCCCCAAAAAATCAGACCATAGCAATCAAGTCCGAAGTTCTTGAACACAATTTTCTAGGCATCAAAGACGACAGTGTCATCTGCTATGTTGTAAGACTTGAAAATTTAGCCATTATATTAGCCGTCATTTGTAAAATTTATAAAAAATATCTCATGAAAAAACGCTTGCCTGCAGCTGCTCATTAAAAGACTTTGATGGCAGTTACGGTGGATAAGCATATCGACTATTCATTTCAAAGTTACTTATTTCATCAAATCGAAAGAAAACAAGACTGCTCGTATCAGGGCGAAGCCCTGAATATTCCGACCGCCTTGTAATGTTTATGGAGCAGTAATAACATTTAAGAAATTAAATGAAATAAACCAAAATGAAGTTTTTTTTCTTCTAAAATTTGAATTTTTTAAATGAAAATCATCCCCCCACACGCCATATCAAGTACAAAAGGATAGATTTCGCTCCTTGTAACAAATCAATTATGGCAAATAGGCTTCTTTCAACCAATTTGGAACGATTTCTAAGACGGATTAACTCTCCGCTTACGCGTTAATAGCGCGAAATATATCGCGCGTTAATTGTCCAAATTGGCCAAAATGGCAATCTTTAAACCCCCGTAATTTTACGAAAAATGATCACAGGTAAAATATCTTTTCAAATTTAAGCTCAGGATAACAATACCTTTCGAATGATATAAAAATTTGATATAAAAATGATATAAAAATTCCGTCAAAAATGGCTAGTTAAAAAGTCGAAATTTGTCTGAAGAAAAAAAAACCCACCCCGAGCACAAATATTCCGTTACTTTCGTCGGAACAAAAATGAATTTCTAATTTGAAGTCAAAAATTTGTCAACAATTGGAACAAAATCGAGTGATCTCCGCATAGAATTTTTAGAAATTTATCCCAAACAAAAAAGATGTCGAATGACAACCACCTATTCAAATATCATACCATTAAA